ACAAAGTTTTGTGCACAAACCATTGCTGCTCATCATCGTATCAAATTAGTCACATGGATTCACAATTCGTCTTATATTCATTTTGCTTCTCTTTCTATCTCTCCCACTTCCCTCATTTTGTTTGTTACCACTTTCCATATCTCCGATATAGGCGTTACGTAATTCCGATTACATGTGTGCGATGTTGACTGTAATCAAATTACAAAATAAACTATATAAACAAACGAATGAGGTGAAAGTGAGATCATCAATATCCCCAGAAGTAGTAGACATATTTGTAGATATTCAAGAATTGGTTTGTAGGGATTTGGTTGATTGGTTACAGGATTTCATCATGAGCTGATATTGGTTAAAGAACCATTGGAAAACCTGAGAGTACTGGACAGTTGTTTCGTCCTAGTTTGGGACTCTTCATCAGTACGCACCCACTGGGATTCGAACCCAGGACCTTCCGGTTACGAGGTGAACTCATATACCATTAAGCCACTGGGACCCGATCCGATGGCCCATGAATTCTAACTTCTGCAAATTCACGATGTAGCGCAACCGCTAGCTAATGTCTTCAGCGAGTATTTGTCCTCACACCCAACCTGCTGCACCCTACTGGTCACGACTTTCCACTGGACCCAAGCTACGAAACAGCTGTCCAGTACTCCCAGGTTTTCCAATGGTTCTCTAACCAATGTCAGTTCATGATGAAATCCTGTAACCAATATTTGTAGATAGTTAGGAACATAAAGCTCTTAGAACCTTCACTCCTGCTCCACCTAGGTTATGGGGGGATATGTGGATGACACATCCCATGTGTTCAAATCTGAACATATCCCTCATTTTTTCATACATATAAACTCACTAGCAGGTGGAATTTAATTCATTTCTGAGTTAAGAAAAGAACAGGGTGAGTTGGGCATGCTGGACTGTAGACTAAAACGAAAGCAACATGTTAGGTTACACACTAGCATTCATAGGACACTGCAACACTCTAGCAAACACTTAAACTTTAATTCATCCTATCCAGAATCAGTAAAGGGAGACAGTTTAGTTAAATGTGTGTATAATCGGGCCAAGAGCCCGATGAATAACTACCCACCAGAATTTATTCAGAAATATATGAACAAACAATAAAAATGGTGAAAATATTATAGAATTCAAAGCCTCTGTAATGCTGTCATATAAAGAAGGAATGTCAGAAGCCTTCATAGGATTCGCAATCAGGCTGAAATTTCGGTGGCATTCAGACCGGTCAACTCTTTCTCAGTAGTAAACTTTATCTGATTAAGTACCCAATAGATTCAAATAATAAAAATCATACAATTTACCAAATACGATGTAGTGACTGTGAGGTCAATTACTTAGGTGTTAAACTAGATCAAGGTCAACTAGATTATTGGAACATAAAAATTATTTATATCTAGAATGATCTAACCTGCTAAGTTAAATGACCTAAGAAAAAGCTCAGTCATTGCACTGCATTCACTTGCTTGTAATCACAAAACAGGGTGAGATTAGACAGAGTGAGAGTATTAGAAATTGTACAGTCAGGGAGATAGAGCTTTGCTTATCGATTCAACACCATACACATGCAATCGGAATGACGCAGTGGAAAGTGGTAGAAAACAACGAGGTGAAGAGGGAGTGAGAGGAAAAGAGACAAAATACATCTAAGACAAATTGTGAATCCGTGTAACTTAAATTAAAATTCCTAATCGCCAGCTAGGGCTTCCTTAGACTTCATAATGAGCCCCAAAAACGTTTTATAGATAGCTTTAAAAGATGTGTGTAAACATCAATTTTATGTCCTGTCTCTATAATATGTTTCTCAATAGAAGATCTAGATGGTCTGTTCTCACCATTAATGGGTTCTGGGGATTCTATTTGCTTCTGAAGCCACTGAGGAATATGCTTTGGAGCCAGCGCTTACTTGCAGAGATCGATGCGTCCTCTATAAGGGCTTAGATGAATACATGAGCTTTACATTCTCAACTGTTCCAATCTTAGTTATATAAGAAGTCTTTTTAACCACAGCGTTCAACATTTGTCGAGTTGTCAAGCTGAGGTGATCCCTCATCCAAGGTAGCTTGATACATACGTCTTTCTTAGTAACGAGTTTTATGTCTGCTTATGAACCTGTCTAGGTAATTTTTATCAACCAGAATTGATGTCAGTTTTCTTTCTCCATCTTCAAGTATTCCTTCTTTGGTTAATTAATCTCCGTTTCTATTTTGACCTTCAATATGTCTTTTTAAGTTGACCTATGCCTTTTTTCTCACCCCTTAACTCTTCATGAATTTCATATTTATTTCTATGACATGTTCATTTGTAATCAGAATGCTCGAAATAAGTGTTACGCAAACATGTTAGTCTGTGATTCAGACAAACTACGTCTTCTTATTGCTTTGTCGAAAGATTTTGTTTGATAACAGATAAGAGGACAGCATACGTCACAATTCGTTTATCAAGTCCGGTTTTTGTATTAATTGTGAATTTCAAATTCTACAGAACGCTCAACAGTTATTAGTCTTAACAAAGGTTTTAAGGTATTCCTCTTGCTGAAACAGATATGAAATCAAAGTAGAGCCAAACTCACCATCTTATAAATTAATTAGCGATTTGCGAATTACACAGCTCCATAAGGTGATACTTCATCACAGTTTCCTTTAGAAATTGGGATTATTCAGGTGACAGTATGTGATTTGCTTGATGCCATAATTGGCAAACAAGAAACAAGCATAAATGCATAGGGCTATGCATTACCGCTTTGGTTAGCAAGCACCACTGATCAGTAGGAGTTGAATTCAACTGCTCAGGTCAATCACTTGATAGTACATAGCACCATACCTTTATTCTAATCTTTTGATCATAAGTTAACTTCACTTTCAGAGCAACCAAAGACCATGGAGTACTGTGCAACTGTTTCATCCTTGCTTGGCACTCATCAGCTGTGCGTTCCCACTGGGTTTCGAGCCCAGAGCCTTCTGGTCGCAAGACAAGCTCGTATACCATTCAGTCACTGGGACGCAGTTCAGTGGCCAGTCTGTCAATTATGACTTCAAACAGTTCGTGATTTTAGCGCAACGACCACTAGTCAATTTCATCGCTGTCAGGTATTTGTTCTGACTCCTCTCCACTTGTTACAACTTCTAACTAGGATTCCAGGTAGTTCGCGCTAAAACCACAAATTTGTAGAAGTTAGAATTCACAAACGGACCACTGAGTGGGACTCTAGTGGCTGAATGGTTAACCAACTGGCCTTGTTGCAGTAAATTCAAAGGTTCAAACAATGGTAGTATGTGCATACCGCGGATGAGTCCAAAACTAGTGGGACAAAACAGCTATCCAGTACTCCTCCCTGATGGTTTTCAAAAGTTCTCTTACTGATATCAAATCCCTACGAACAAGCTTTTGAAAATAGTCCTTTATTATATTTTTTTCCATATTTTAGGAACAATTGATAAATGCCCAGTATGCAATAACTCTGGCTAGAAGAATCGGTGCGACAGTTTATGCAATGCCTGAAGATTTAGTTGAACTAAAGCATAAAATGATAATGACAATATTTGCCTGTCTGATGGCTGTCGATTTGAAACAGAATCGTAAGACATGCGATTCATGGAAAAAGATAAAAAGACTTGAAATTATTGAAAATAAATCTCATCACAGCTCGGTTGACTCGAGTGGAGAAACATTAGAAACAAAAAGTTACCGATATGTTGGTGTGAATCAGAAAGAAAACTCACAGAACGGAGATCATGGGGATGACACTGATTACGAAGATCCTGGTGTAATCGAAAATGATGATGATGATACGAAATATTCAACCTCAAAGTCTACTCTTCTTAAAGATATCCCTCGACCACCGCCGGAGAAAATCTACGTGAAATCATTTCGAGTCAATTTATCCAGTTGTCAAAAATCACCTGTCACCTGTTTAGATGATCCTAATCTACACCAAAAATATCTACCGAAATCACCATCAGGTGATTGTATAGAAGTTGAAAGTTTGGATAGCCTGGTCACAGCGAACTTAGTTAAAGCTGGAAGTTTACGTAAACCCCCGTCGCCTAGACGCTGTCATTCTCCAACTACTAAGCACCACTATGTGAATCATTATTACGAAAAGTCATCATCAGCGTCGAGGTCATGGTCTCCAGTTGATGGACGAATAAATTCTCCAAATAAAACCTACACTAAACATATAACACAACTGTCTAAGTCAACACCTTCAGTAGATCATATCGGCATCAATAATGCGACACAAAGAAGCTTTTCACCATCTCTTTCAACTGGTAAACAAAGTTGTTCACATTCAGGAGCACAAAGTCCTCATGAACGTAGACGACATGCTACTGGAGATCGTGAGTTAGCTATGACGACAGAGAGGGAATTTACAGAAGAGAAAATTATTCATAGTACACTATACACTTTAACGTATCCTAAAGAACACACCATAGATTTGAATGCAGTCAAAAGTACAAATAACTCAAATCATCATGATAATGATGTGATGATGTTAGTAATACGCTTAAAACAAAAACAACAACATCTTATACAACTACAACAATAAGTAATCATCGGCCACATGGTGGAGGTCGTTTATTTTTAGCAACTGGTGCAAGAAAAGATTGAAAGATTTTGAACTCCCTTTTTTTCCTTCTTCAATTGAACACATTGAACAACATTTTTGTTTTACTAAGCTAGTCTTCTTATATACTGATCACCTTCATAATTTAATTCAGCATCCATGATTACGCATTAATAAATACGTGAATAAATTATTAGAAAATGTGGTTTCTCAAGAAGAGGAAGAAGAATAAAACGATTGAGAAACGCCTGATAAACAGCTTTACCATTATGTTTTATTATTATTACTCATCTTGTTATCATTATTATTATATTATTTTGATTATATGAAATGATGATAAAAGCTTTTCTTTCTAATTTGAAGATAATTCATCCCGTTTTTCCCATGGGAAAATGGGTATATACTATGGGAGATTCCGCCTTTGGTAATTTGCTTGTCAAATCTCTTATTTTTAGCATCTGTTTTATTTGGATTGATTATTTTATAATAAAAAAATATCTTACAAATTTAGCTGTCTGTTATGTTGTTTTGACTTCAAAGATAGAGAGACCTGATTACGTAATCATCTTCATGATGGGCTGACTGTGTTGGATATTATATTAGATGTTTGGAGGTAATTGTTAGGAAGCTCTGGGTGAATCTAGGTTTTTTGCTTGTTAGCACTTACCATTCAGAAAGGCGTATCTGCAATCTGAAGGAAAGTCATGTCCTTCCAGAGATTCGAATTCGTGTCACACAATTCTGCAGTCAGTGAGAGACATAACCAGTGGGCCTTTCGGGCTGGCGTTTAACCTCCTATAGGACTGTATTGGATACTTCATTGGACACTAGTAACTAGTGTGAGGTGTCTAGTCCTTTCTTTGGTGCAGTTAGAATTCTATCAGTCAATCAATTTTACACCGTGGCCGCCATTCTAGGTGGCTCGCCATCATGGTACACTCTGACTTGTTGCCTTTCTAACTGGTAGGCGCCAACTACGCCGTAAACTAGGTCAGGCGAGGCTTCCTACCGATAGCCTCCAACCATGTAATATAAACAATTAGAAGAGCAATGCACAGTGATGGCGAGCCACCTATAGCATGGTGGCAACATTGCAAACTTGACGGACTGATAGAATTCAGTCTGCATCGAAAGGAAGGGACTAGACACAATATGACAGCTAGTAACTAGTGTCCAGTCCGGAGGTATGAAGTTTGTCGCAATGGAGTGTTGGTGATTTTGTAGTTTTCGTCTATCTAGCCTAAAATGAGCCTCAAAACTGCTGATCAATTGGAAATGTTCCCCCCACCCTCGAATGAAGTAGACACACACAAGTCATATCTAACTGCGACAACAACTTTATTATCCCAAATACCAGATAAATATATATCATTTAGATATACGCCAAAATTTAGACCAAAAACAGGCAATCAATATCTGATTGATTGCATCAGTCATGACCACACGGCTAACAGCGATAGTTAGTCAGTGCTAACACCTCCTCTTTCTGGTATATTTCCGGCTGGGGGACCACCGAAGATATTTTTGTTTTTTTAGAATAGTAAACAGAACATTGAATACATCACTAGCCGAAAAATATCCTACAGCTAAGTTGGTTCCTGTCTACCAGACAACATGCTCATTGGCTCAATTGAAAGTCAACGGGCGCCCTTCTCATGTTAACTCTAACCACGTATACAAATTTAACTGCATCTGAGTGAGCAGATACATTGGGAGAAGAGAAAGAAGGGCAAACCTTCGATTTTTTGATGTTAGATGGTTGGAGGCGATCGGAAGGAAGCCCCAAGAGAATTTGGGTTTCGTGCTAGTTGGTAATCACCAATCAGTAAGGCGTACCTGCCCCTTCTGGGATTCAAATCCGTATCACCCAGTACTGCAATCAGTCAGAGATGTTAACACTGATCTATTCGGGTTCGCGTGATTGACCTCCTGTAGGACTGATTGTATTGGATATTTTGATTGGACACTAGTTAACAATTAGTACAAGGTGTTTAATCCTTTGTTTGGTGGAGACTGAATTCAATCAGTCTAATCATCTAACATCAATAAATCAAAGTGCACCATGATGGTGGGCTACCTAGAATGGTGGCCATATTTCAAACCTGACTGATAGAATTCAGTCTGCAACAAAGAAAGGACTAGACACATTACACTTGTTACTTATGTCCAATAAAACCTTTGATTTTCTGAACATGTACCAAAATGTCTAAGTTTCGAGGGAATAAGCGCTTCAACAGTGCACTTTCCAGGCATTCCGTAGATACGGGTCATGAGGTGGAAATTGCAAAATCATATAAAGTTATCAGTAGACAGAATAGTTCAATTCTCCCCAAGTTTTCTGAAACAGTTTTCATCAAACGCCTAAAACCCGACTTGTGTGTTCAGAAGGAAGCAGTTATCATCAGTGTTTCCTTTTCCAGGTGACTGGGCGTCTTTATTTCCCCCCTTCATTTGTCTACGGAGTGCCAAAAATTCTATTCTGTACGATTATTACTGTTTGGAATAAAGTGATTATTATTATTATTATTTTACGACTGTATTCATTCAATAATTATTTGTTTAAACTTGAACTGTCTGAGTAAATATGTTAAAACTGTTTCTGTACATAAAGGTGATAGTGAGATCTTTAGGCTATAAGCAGAGCTGATGAGGAGATAAAGGCATGAGCAATGATGGTACCATTTTTTGCTGAAAAAACCACTGTTGTTCTTGCTTAATTCAAATTCGTAAAGGGGAAAAAATCTATAAAGCTGTAATGTTTTCTTGTTGCCGGTATATTTTTCACTTCATTGATCTAACTACTAATAAGTAGGCAAAGTCTTATTCAATCATTTTCTCCTCAACCAATTACATGATAACAAATCCTGATACTTACATAGACAAATTATTTATAGGGTGACAAAATAAATAGTATTTCCATGAACTGAATTGCTGAATTAAATTCAACTACAAAATAATGTGAAATGAGAGACTATGATAACGGCTCTTTTATTCCTTTACGTTCCCAATGGAACATAGGGTGGCTTCAACCTAGAGGCATGAAGTTTCGTTAGCAGTGATGTTTATTTTTACGGGATGAAGTTGCTAGCCTCATGCCTAACCTTCCTTCTTTACCAGTCTTATTACTGGCTTAGAGAGGTAAAGGAATGTGTTGGTCGGGGATTGAATCCCGTACCACATGCGTAGTCAGCGAGCATTATACTGCTGTGCCACTGACGCACAATGATGATGGTGATTAGTTATTATAGATTCATACATTGTGGGGAAGGAAAAATCACAAGTCGGTTGAAGTTTGTTAAATATGTCAGATGAATAGCAATTTCAGAATAGTATGCATGAAAGAGGGGATAGTAAGATAGTGGTGTGAATAGTACAATATAAAATAATCAATGAGCAATATGAAAGCAGTGACGTTATATATATATATATATATATATATATATATATGTATATATTGACGAGGGAGATAATATCGCTTGTAATAAATCAGATTTTTATAGGTGGATAATTCGATACTACTGAAAGAATGTAGAAATGAACAGCATTCATTACGAAGCACCAAGACTGAGGCTGTTAGTAACTTAATAATTCCCATTGTAGTATTAATAAGACAATATTCAGCGAAAAGATCCTTTTCAACGAATTTATTGCCAAGCTGTACAATCGTGAATACATAAAATAATAACAGTGGCATGAAATGACATTAAAATATTTGTGATTGTAATCATCTTTAAGTGTCAAGTAGCAAACGTTTAATGTCATGTAGCAAATAATTCATAAGATGTATAGATATTTTTGGAAAGGGTTGCATAATTATAGGATTAGTAGGTGAATATAAAATGTTTCTTAACACGGTGTGAAATTTGATAAGATAGAATTCAATGTTGTAAAAATTAAAAACATAATAATTTTGGATTTAGAATGACAAGTGGGACAAGCGGAAACATTTCAGAGTGAGAATAGTAATAATAATAATAATAATCGCAGTAATGAGGGAAAGGTACATAGAATAACTAAATAAACAAAATGAATAAATAAGTGTCTATTCCTCTACGGCCAGGGCAGAAGTAGGGATTGCACATACTTCTTCTATACATTAAGCTTTGGCTGAAATTCATTGATAACCAAGGCCTTCTCTGTCTTTAGAAGTCTGTAATGAAGGAAACGCGGCAAGTTAGCATGGATTCGATAGATGATCTTAAATTCATGGTCACGGTTGGTAGATTGTCAGGAGTCGATTAGATGTTCTAGAAGAGAGCTTCGCACATACTTTCTTTTTCCTTTGTAAAACCATGTTGCTTGAGTATGTTCTCGTAAAGATGTAAAGACGAAGGTAATATAAAATAAACGGTTGATAAAACACTCGTATATTGAACTATTTAATGTAGTAACGGCGGTGTGTTGAAATCACTCGGCTACCAGAATTTCCATTCATCAAAATATATGAACACTTTTGCACTTCTTATTGTTTTGATAGCGCAATTATTTCAAAATGATTGCTACATGTGTTCGCGCGCATATTTAATTATCTTCCCACCAAACGCTGTGTAGTAAATAAAGAATAAATGTACATAATTGGCTCTCGCTTCATATGCAACAACACTACGTCACTTGGTACACTTCAGATTATTAATTTACATGTAAATTCTGCAAGAAGTGGAAATATTTTGGAATTATATATGCTAAGAATTTCTGTACTATGTGCTTACATAGTGTCTGAAATAGAGCTTTGTTGTTACTATATATTATTATTGTTATTACTGTCCTGGCAGCAAAACAAATTCGAACGGTAGAAGACGAAAGACTTCTTAGAAAAGGAATGTTTATTTGGAAACTGGTAGCTTTATATAGCCAAATTATGTAGACACCTTATCTTCAACGCACGATTTTTGCACAAATCTTCCGTGTTGCGCTACTTCTAGCCTTCATATTGTGTTTCTTTTTACTCCTTTCACGTCTATTATGTATCTCCATAACGCTGTATCACTCGCTTTCTCAGACATCAAATCTATCTCCTTGCTGTTTGGTGTTTTTTATGCCCGTGAACATCTCTTTATATTTATATATATTACTGATAAATCTTATCAGTAGCCCATACTACACTCATGGTCGTAGTCACTCATCTGACACCTTTTATAACATTGAAATGACTTGTCAATTTTCCTGCTCTATACTGTTTTAATATATAATGACTAGTTATCATCGTCATGATATCATATTTGACAATATTTCGTAATTGAATTCACCCCAGCACGTTTGATAATCAAATACTACCAATTATT